GATTTTTACACATTTTTAAAATAATATTCTGTGTGTTCCAAAAGTGTTAGAGGTAAAATTGTGCAAAATCGCGTTCAAAAATTTGAAACGACGAAGAAGTGTGCAGTGGGTAATTGTACACAAAAATATGGACAAAATTCGCCTAAATAATTTGAATAACTATTTGTTATGAAAAAATGAATATTTAATAATTTCGCAAAATTTTACCAAATTTAAGGTGGAGGGAGGATTATGTAATAACATGTATAGAAAGCTTTTCATGATATTGTTCATATATCACTATGTCCCAGAAATACATAGGTATATTTTATAATTTTTTTTTTTTTATATCTATTTGGCGACTTATTACAAATCACATTTAAACTCTAATTATATATTTATATACCTTATATTTAACATTACATACATACATATATATGATATTAGGTTTAAATGCGAATTTCTTCCTCCCTAAAAGGAGGTTTTAAGAAAGTTTTGGGTTATCTCATTTGTTCCAATAATTTTAAAATGGATGATTTCAAAGAATTCATCCTATTTCAAATTGGGTAAGTTTCACATACATACATAGTTGTGTCTAAGTCTATCTTAATGCGCATGGAATATGGTAAATGATGGCTTGAACAAAAAACGCAAAAATAAAACACAGTAATATGAGTAATGCTTTTTTTTTCAAATTCGTCCCACAGTAGGTATGAGGATGTTGGTTTAGTCACGTCAAGGTTGTCGTAACCTTGTATTCTATGAAAGTTGACATTTTCATATTTGACTCACCTCATGTATGTTGTTATTGGGACCAACCTCAATAATGAAAAATCATGTTAGCCGAGGTTAGAATGCTCTGTATATCAGCGTCTGTGTAGTTTTTAGTGGGGTTGGCGAAATAATCAATTTCAATGGAATCGTTAAATTCAGGTCGCAATTATGGTAACCCTTGCCGACTCTGAACACCGTCTAAGTTAGTCAATAGTTGAATTACCACGCGATCAGTAACGCCTTTTGAAAAGTGACCACCCTTCAGTGTCAAGCTATCGAGTATGTCAAAAATTAGTACACAAACTTTGGGGCTACGGCAACTGAAATAAAACACATGAATAAATAATAAAATTTTTTTAAATTTTTATTGATAATACTTGAATAAAGAGATGAATATTTACATATTAATATATAGACTGCACATTGTTGGAGTAACCCAACGTTCAACAATAGGATGCGGAGAGACGTGCTCCTGAGCTTATACAAGTAGAGCCCTCAAAAAAAAACCAAACTATGATTTTATCAATTCTTTCCGTAAACAACTTCACGAACTTTAAATACGAGAAAAACAGATTCATAAGCTAAAACTTATTTTGGAGTTCTATTGCTACACTAATATATTTACTTTTTTCTTGCAAAAAACGCATAGTTGAATTAAATTTATAAAATTTAAAACGAAGAAGAAGAAATTTCTAAAAGAATGAAAAAAGTTTATAGCAGAACATCCTGTTCATGCAAATTTTTTTTCAGTTTCGTTTCAACGAAGTTGAATGTAAGTTAAGTAAAAGAGGGTTATTAGATAAATGTTAATTGATGGTATTAACATTAACAATAGACAATGACCAGATTGATGTACTATCCATGAAATATTATTTCATTGACTTTTTCATATATTCACAAATAGTTTAGCCCTTATTGTATATCATTATGTTTTGTTAATACAAATTTCGCAAACACGAAGTAAAATATAGTAATAAACCTGAGTTAGTCTATGACCCATAATATAAGTTAATCAGGGGTGTGGTAGAATCTGATAGTTGTCGGAATGAGAATTTAACCGATAAAAAAATGTAGTAGGGGTCATGATCGAAACAGAAATTCTATCGGTTTTGGGTGTCACGGAAACCACTTTTATCGGTTTCGTTACCAGAAACAAAGCAAGACAGCGACTATCTGCTGACATATTTGAAATATAAGTCGAGAAATTAATTGATTTTATTGTTTAAATTACCTTTATTTCTAGACATAAGAATAAAACACAAACTGTTATAATTATACAGTTTGTGAAAAAAGCTCCAGATACTAAAAGAAGTTTTACAAAACGTAATAAACTTAATATAACATCATAACAAATGCGTCTTTATTCAGTCGATAGTGTGATATAAATAAAGTATGTAAAGTAAACATCTAAATACATACAAGCATACAAGTAAATGCAAGCTAAATTTTACATACGACACCCCTGTGGATTACTGATCTCTTAATACAGGGTTTCCCAATAAGAGTGATATAATTACAACAAAAAAAAAAAAAAAACTAATTGTTAAGGAAATTCAAATGTTTTTTATTTAGTGTGAAGTACAGCCGATACAATTAAATTCCGAATATAATATCATACAACCACACCTTAAATCTGATTCTTTCATTTTACAGTTCATAAATCCGGAGTCAATAACTTTGTTGAAATAAGAGTGTCTTTTAGGTATTCAATCTCACGTCTAAAATTTGTCGAAGTTGGACCATAAGGCCACAAATACCGATTAAAAATATCAGTCAATCTGTGAGATTCAGTATTGAAATTCAGAAAGTACATTTTTATGATAACAACATGCGTTTGCGTCAAAAAAGCATAAAATTGAGCCAATAATCCCACTATCGCCATATACCAAATATAAATATTTTCGAACTTCCTGACTTTATACGCATATACAGGCTAATATGTGTCTTATCCTAATAAAACTGATAAAACGCGTTTTTCTAATAACAGTGTTTCTGTGTGCCTAAAATTGTGCCCTAGGCCCCATAAAACTGATATTCATGATTTTAAAACATCCGGCTGACTTTACTCCATATACATTGGTGATGATATGTACGGTCCCTTATTGAAACTCAGAGAACATTTTCTTCTGTTAATAATATGTGGTATTGCAAAATTAGATGAAATCAAGTCAAGATTACCCTTATCTTCAATAAACCCAATAAAAGATTTTCAAAGTTCCCCTTAGCCTTATACTGTGTATATCTGTCAACGTGTAGTATATCTTACCAATATTAACTGAGCTTACAATATTGGATATTCTATAGTTTAATACCGAAAATATGTAAATTTATTCTACGAAGCACCCCAACTCTTATATACTGCATATGTATAATGGTTTTGTTATATTTTATTCTAACAAACTTTTTGCCGAACATGTTGGTCAGGGTGTGAGTAATACATTTATAAAATTGCTTGAAAATAAGTTCTGAAGTATACCTGAGCAATGTTAAAAATTAATGCAGTCCTTCTATTTCTCTGCTCTAAATATACCCTATATAATGATTTCTGACTTTCGACCTGACTTTAAAACGTTTCGGTTGGTCAAAATGTGTGATGTTTAATGTTATTAAGTAGACAAGTTTTCTTAAAAGTTATAAAATTATATTAATGGTTTAGCACTTAATATAACTGGAATTGATTTAAACCTCATATCCCTAATATAATGAATTCCGATCCTTTGGTTGACGTTTTTCCACATATCTCATTTGAGGATGATTTTAATATAGTTTTAGCTGGCGGGAAGTAAAATATAGCAATAAAATTATGTGAATCTATAACTGAGTGATAATTTAATAAAATACCAGATTTTATTGTAATCCATTCCCGTTTTCGTCGAATAATGATTGTAGTAGTCTGGTGTCTTGCATTTTTTTTTAATGCATTTTTGGGAATATTTTATTTGGAAAAAATAAACCTTAATCAGTTTTATTTTGTAATACATTATTATTAGTATTTCAGAGTGTACAAAAAAATTATTTCTGTTTATTTTTCTGAAATTTGTTGTTTCGTGGCACTGAAGCGTCTCAAAAAAAAGGAGGTGGTTGGACCCGGTGATTTGGTCGCTTGAGGACATCTTAAATAGATATATTAAACAGATTATTGGATGGATGGTTTAAGCAATTTCGTTGAAAAATAAAATAATAGCTTCTATCGCGGGCTTTGTTCTGTTTACATAGTATAATAGTTTTGTTCACCTAACGGTTGTTTGTATCATCTAAAACTAATCGAGATAGATATGGAGTTATATATATAAACAACCGGGATAACGGGGCGAGTTCAAATCCGGGTGACAGTCTGTCCGTCCTATTGAAATCCTCGTTAAATCTATTTTTATAAGTTACATGACCAACGAAATTAGATTTATGGTATAACATTATTCTGACATTCCCATATTACGGTGTACGAATTCGGTCTACAACCACGCCTACTTCTCATATAAAACAATTGTAGACTTCGGATTATGTCACTTGACAGTATAGAAATTGAGAGCCCATAAAGACGTAGGATTAAAACTTTGCGCAAATATTCTCGTTTAGATGTGCCATTCACATTGTACAAAAATTACTTGCAGTAGCTCAGTCCCTGCAAGACGGATATCTGTTAACAAACGTGTTAACGACTTGTTATTGTTCAATTCTGCATTCGTTAACCATTTGTTACTTTTGTTCAGAGAGTGGGAAAAAAGTAACACATCGCCATTTGATGATCAATGGTCTTCTCGCTCTATCTAATTGCAATTATAGCATGCTGTCTCGTTCTAATATACCTCTTATATGCGTACCTTGTTTGTTATGTTTTTTTTAACAGAATGGCATATATTGGTTATCAAATCTGTTTACAGTCTGTTAAAGGTAACAAATACTTATGTTAGCGATATAGGTTACCTAAGTGTTAACCATAACAAATACACTTGTTAGCGAATAGGTTACTTATGTCTTATCGATAAAAAAAATATTTTGTACCCAAATTTCTGTTAGTGTTATAATTTTAGTTAACAATTTGTTACCTTCAACATATAAACATATTAGCGTATTTGTTACCTACTTGTTAGCCATAACAAACATATCTGTTACCCCAATTTTCCTCGATATGTTATTTTGTTTATTGTCCATTTGTTACTTCTAACAAATTCATATGTTAGCGTATCGGTTACCTTTTTGTTACCATAACCAATTCCAATGATTTTACACAAAATACTATATTTTTTTATTACTTCCATTTATTTATAAAAACGTATTTACTTAAACTAAATATTAAAATATAGCTTATACATACATATATAAATTAAATATATACATATTATAGTTTAAATATAAATATTAACACAGCAAAAATTTAAATATAGATATTAACACTTAAAATGTATTCTTAAACAAGTAAAGTACATCTATAAGGATAATCTTATAAACAATTACTTGTACTACAATTATAAATCTATATGCATAAAAAATATGATTTCGTCCCTTCATTACGATAATGCACCATGCAATGGACTACAAATGATTTAAGCGCCTGTTTCATCTGTGTATCACATTCTTCTTTAAAATTCGACTTTTTAGCCATTACAGCATAGGAAATAACATCAGTGCGACGATTCACATCGCTCATTTGGGTATTGCTCATCTTTGGCTCAGAGGTTAAACGTTCGGATTCTTTGAGTTTTTTGCATTACACCCTTGTGTGTTGAGAGAATTTCAGGAAAACTCATGAGGACGCCTCTGAAATAAAAATTCATAGAAAATGAAGACATTAGGTATAAGTATACGTATTTGGGATATATTTTTAAGTATAGTACGAGATTAATAAGTGAGTTAGAAATTAGATTAAATCCTCTAATACCAGTCAGAAGATACTGAAATATCGGCTTCTGGAGTATCTCCAGGCACAAGGTCATTCCTCATGCATATGTAACTAAACAGAGACTTATTTTCGTGTCGTGTTACTTGTAGATATGCAAAACCTCCGAGAATGGTATCCAGTCCAATTTAGGCGTGCCCAACACTTTCCGAAATCGGTGTTGTTTTTGAGGGTGCACTACGCTCCTCTATATTTAAGGCCTTTGCCAGGCCCAAATTGCTATCACCAATATGTTGCAATTCTTAACAAGCGAATACAACAATGTTTTTTCGACGGTGATATGGCCCAACAATAGAACACTCTTTCAATTGTACCATACGTGACACGTTGATTTTCACATCTTGTCATCGTTGCAGGTCAAGAAATGATGTCAAAGCTCACATTGTGACAGTACCGGATGATTAAAAACCCAATCTAAAAATTCTTGCTATTGAACCCATCGATGCTCCACAAATTATTTTTCGTAACGTTAAGAAATTTGATTATTTAGCAACGGTGGTATGGGAATGAGGCACGTTCGCATAACCAATCAAAATGCTTGTATCGTCTTGGTACCTGCAACAGAATTATGTTGAAATTGCATTTGACTCACAATAAAATACATATATATGAATCCGAACTTTTGCCGAGCATACTAGACGTTTTTAAAGTTACCGTGTAATTGCTAGCGAAATGTGTGAGTGCGTTAGCGTGTCCTGGGTAATTACTAGTTTTTGTCTCACCACTGGACCCAATTTCCGAATAAGTTTCATTGTCATTATCCCAATCATCTTCCCAGTCGTCATATTCATTCGCAGTTTGATCATTTGTTGCTTTGTTTGAGTTTGATTCCGCTTTCGTGTTTTACTATGCAGATATTTAAATTATTTTTTATTTAAATAATTAGCAAAACATAACTTACCTGTTGAAACCTCCGTCTTGCAGGGAAATGATTAACAAGGGTAACCTAGTTTAAGGTAAACAAACAAAATGTTAAAATTTCAGCTGATGTCATTTTCTAACTAAACAAATGATTTTATGTTAAGATCCACTTTTAATTTTGTGCTAAAATGAATCAGAAGAAACAATTTTTAATAAAAAATTCCAATAAATAAAGTAAATATATACATATGTATATATTCAATATAGGTATGTACATTTTGGCCCGTTATGACTAAATTATTCATAATTATATATTATTATAATGCCGATATATAGCATTATGGCATTATCGCCTTTATTATATATAATATCTAGTAAAGTTACATATAACTTACTTACTTGTATTCAGTAAGCTGTCATTACCTCACACAAGGCCAAGGGACGATAGTTGACGAACAAGCCGTAGAACTTCAGCAAAGCAATCATTTTCTTCTCAACCAATTTACGCACATCCTTTATGTTCAACACTTGAAATATTTTAATTCGATACGCAGCAACCATGGCGAAATTCATGTTGTATTGAAATCGGGCATCTCATAGTAGACCTTTACGAATTCTTGATCTTCCGAGATGACAGTCCTCTGCGTATAAATAACAGTGTTGACCATTATCTTTCACAAGGCGGTGTGCTCCAAACGACACTGCACGTTCTTAACCTTCACGGCGTCCCGCGCCGTACCGCCAGTAAAGAATACTGTAAGAGAGTTGTTGACTCCTTGGAGATATTAATAATTTCCTTTAGACTTCGCACAAGTGGTACGACACACCAGAAAAATGGAAAGTGTTGAGTGTCATCTAAAAACACTTAAAAAATACACAGAGTAAAGAATAAGTAGTTAATTAAGGCATTGCACAGCCATGCTTACCTGTGTAGAACGTTTACCCAAACTCTGTACAACCTAGAGGAGGCAAGAAAATAAATAATTGGTCTTTTCGACCTTTAAGGAAATAATACAACCTAACTTGGAATAACCATTGGGAAAAATATCACACAATGCATCACGATAGCGATACAATTGATCCCATTAGATTTTCAGCTCGGGCAGCGCATTTAGAGTTTTCCTCCGTCGTCTTCGCAATTATATTTTATCAATTCTTCAAAAACTTTTCTTCATAAACACACATGTTTTCCAAATAATGCCGGCCATTGTTGATGAAAATGGTATAGCTTATGTACATATCTTTCCTACGCATTCAAAAAATATGTATAATGAATGTTGCTACTCTCACAACAGAATTTTTCATTAAAAAAAGTTAGTTTTGAATATGTGGCAGAGTAAAAGGTGAAATAGTAGTGTAGTAGTGAATTGGTTCCCTCCGTTTTAACGTTTATAGAATACAAGGTTACGACAACTTTGACGTCATTGAACCAACAACCCTACAAGAACAGTGACAGTCTTCTGACCAGTAATATGACAATCACAGCTGAAAAAATTTTGTCAGCGTGCAGAGCATAGTTTCTATCATTTTCTTAAGAACCTTGTGTAAAAACTGATGTAAACAAACGCTTATGTGCGATTTTGCTTCTCTCTTTAACACATGGATATTCGGAATTGATTCACTATATATTTATACTGCTCACTCTCATGGCTTTTCCTGAGTCATTGCTGATCACAAATTCATCAGAGCTGAAAATTGTCAGTTATGACTGCAAAGCTATCATAGCTGCAATTTGTGAGTTATGACTGTAAATTTATCACAAGTGAAAAATTCTTTTACGCGGTATATAATACAATTTTTACTTCTTTAATAAATTCAAAACTTTTAATTAAAACTAGTTATAATATTGTAATATACAAAAATAAAAAAGGGGTGCACCAAAATATAATTAAATAATAAATTATGAAAAGAAATGTTCACTTGATTCCATGCTGGCTCCTCTCAAAATCACTGCTGTACGTGTTTCTCCAGTTCATGGTTATTTGAAACTTAATAATAACTTACGTATATTATATTCAAAAACTCCTTCGTTATTTATTTATTTTTTTAACACAAAAAGAGTTGTTGCACAGGAGCTCGCAACACTTTTGGTTTATCGCACGGAATAACAGCAATACATAGGTATTTCACAACTTCTCGAAATTTCTATGGAAATGTATGCTGTCTCTTTTCGACGTATATAGAATTCACTGCGCGATATTAAATTTTTTCAATATTAAAAAAATACTCTAACTCTTCAACTTTAAATGGCTTGTAAACAAAAAATTAATTGACAGAAGGACTTGTAACTTTGCAAGTAATCTCACGATAGATGTACCAACTTGAGAAAAAAATAAATTTGGAGCTAGTGGAGCTATTTCATGGTGAGCCCTACTCATTTTTCATCCAACCTGCACATTTATGAATTGTTTTGACTTTTAACATAATTCTCCCCACCTATTTCCAGTTCTGGTTGGTCTTGGTGGTTGGTTAATCGGACCACTGCCACGCCAATAAATCGAAGCACTAAATAAAAATACAAAACTGAAATTTGGTACAGGGGATCGCAGTACATGGAAGCTAAAATTTTTTGAAAGCGAACGTGGCTCCATACCATAAATGGTTAAATATACATATTTTCCAAACCACTGAAGCTAAATCAACCAAACTTGCTGAAAAGATGGTTTTTAGCACTTCTTCATACACTGTGGAAATGTATAAAATCAGGTAATAACCACGTCCGGAAAGGCTTTATACAAGTAGCAACAGGTGTAAAAATTGGACACCTTTAGGTGGAATCCTACAATAAGACCGAAAATTGTTTTTTTTTTCGATATTCGAGGTTTGGTTCATCATGAATTCGTTCCAACGGGACAGACGGTCAATAAAGAGTATTATTTGAGCGTTTTGAGGCGTTTGCGCGAAACATCCGTCGTAAACGGCCGGAATTGTGGGCCAACAATTCATGGATTTTTCATGACGATAATGCGCCATCGCACGGAGCTGTAGTTGTAAACTCTATAAATACAATCGATCAACCACCGTATTCACCGGATTTGAAGGCGATCTCGACTCGAACAGCGCTTACCTGGCATGTTTCGATAATTGAAAAATCTATTGGCATACATACTTGTATGTATGTGTATCGCTTCAGAAAGAGCATATTTTGAAAGCGGCAAAATAAATATTGACGATTGAAGACTGAAAATTTTTCATTTTATTTACAATTTTCGGAAGCTTTGTGGTCTTAATGTATATCTCTGGAAGTACTTGACCAATTTAAACCAAATTTGGTGTGTGAAATTACCCGGAAATTCCTATCACACACTGTGGAAATGGGACACACTTTTAAATTCCATCTAATCCTTTCACTTTACAGTCAATGTAGTTATCGGAATAAAACTTTGCACAAATAGTGCCCTCGAGCTAATACATCTTACGCTTAAGAATTATCGAAGTGGGACTATCACTTTTCACGGACCCAAGCACAAAAGATGGAAATCCCAGTGAACATGGCAGATTTTTTACCGAACTTATCGGTCAATATGTGAGGCCTTGTAATGAAATTCGGGAAAAATATTTTTGTCATGACAGCATGCTCTTGTGCCAAAAATTGTTGAAATCGGATCAATACTTTCCTTAGTCCTCATATACCTAATATAAATACTTTTTAATTTCCGGTTGACTTTACACCTCATATACTGGTCAATATGTAAAGGTATATTAATGAACCTCACAGGGCATGATGATATTGATATATCGTAATGGCAAAAATGGAATAAATGGATAGCTTCCATATACCCAATATGCGAGTTTTCAAACGTCCACTTGACTTTATACCGTATATATCTTTAAGCTTTTATTGAGTTTATGGTATATCTCATTTGAGTTTATTAGGTTTAACAGTTTCGCAACATATTTTAATATAAAGAATTGCCACACTTTAAAGTATTTCCCCCTTTTGATCTTTTCAAATTGCGAGAGTATAAAATGTTTGGTTACACCCGAAATTAGCTCTTCCTTACTCTTATTTTATATTAAGTTATTGAGTATAATTAATTATTGAGTATAATTATTGAGTATAATTAATTATTGAGTCGACAAAAATTTGGATATTTAAAGATAATTTATAAAACGTAATTTAACACCATAACAAATGAGTCTTTATTCAGGCGTTAAAGTAATATAAATCTGTAAAGTAAGCAAGTGAATATGTACATATGTACATACTTATGTATATACTACATACAAGCATACACGTAAATACAAGTTAAATTTCACTCCCTCGGACATGAAGGGGATCATTAAGATCTCTTAAAATCACTCTTTAAATCTTTTCGTTGCATTCGTCTTCCAATAAAATAATAAGATAAAATCGTTTTTTTTATAGTTTTTTACAATAGTTATAATTTTTCATAATGTAAAAGCTCACAACTTAAATTCAACTATTAAAATTATGTATTCGACTGTGATTTTGAGTTATTTTAAAAATATTTCAAATATATTCAAGTTTATGTTTTCATTACTACAAAATATCGAGACTGACAACCCTGCGTTGCAAAAGATTGCTCTCTCACTCTCAACTCACTCGTTTCTGTAGAAGCGGACGATAGAAACGGTGGTGAGTGCTCTCATAAGATAGGTCATATTAGCTGATTCGGTCCACGGTTTTGCGTCGGTGACTGTTTGAAGCATAAGCCAGAGAATGTTAATGATGTACATATGTATATATGCATGGTGTATTTCTCTTTTTCGAAGTTATATTTTTTGATGTTCCCTCATGTGAAACTACAAATTAGTACTCAAAAAGATTTGATTTAACATTTGCGCCTTCTCTATTCATTAACATTCCCTGAATCTGTCTTGGATTCCACAACACTCCTGGTTATGTTTTTTTTGAAGCTCATAAACTTCACCTGCCCTTTTTCTCCCTCTCTCTTCTCTTTCCTACTCCATTGTCAGTAAGTGACAGCGAACACACAAACTGATTATTTTACATATCGGTGCATGCATTGTAAACATCCCTACAAGAACAGTGACAGTCATCTGACCGGTATTATGACAGTTACAGCTGAAAAAATGTTGTCAGCGCGCAGAACAAAGTTTCTATCATTTGCTTAAGAGCCTTGTGCAAAAACTGATGTAAACAAACGCATGTGTGTGAGTTTTCATCTCCCTTTAACACATTAATAGTCAGGATTGATTGACTAAATATCTATACTGCCCACTCTCATGCGTTTTCCTGAGTCATTGCTAACCATAAATCCATCATAGCTGAAAATTGTCAGTTATGACTTAAACGCTATCATAGCTGCAACTTGTCAGTTATGACTGTAAATATATCACAAGTGATTTCTTTTGCGCAGTTTATAATACAATTTTTATTTCCTTAGTAAATTCAAAACTTTTAATTGCAATTAGTTATAATAATATTTATTTATAGTTTTAACACAAAAAGAGTTATTGCACAGGAGCTCGTAACACTTTTGGTTTATCACACGGTTATTCACAACTTCTCGAAGTTTCTATGGAAATGTATGTTGTCTCTTTTCGACGTATACAGAATTTGCTTTTGGAAAAATCGTAAACATTGATAGTAATTTTACTGTTCATATGACTGTCAGTACTGATAAATGTGATTGTATTGGTTAATCCATCAGCAGTTTCTTGTAGGGATTGAACACAGGATTTATGTCAAGACTAAGTACATTTAATGTATGAACACTCATACGAATCTCGAAAGAAATAGCTCTTCTCTGAAAATGATTATTGTAGGACTTTAGTTCTTCAAAAAGTTCCCACTTACAAAAGCTTGTAAAATAAAATAAAACTCTGCAATTTCTTCCTTCATTGTGCGTTCTGTCTATTATTTTTATTTTTGTGACCGATAACTACAATTGCGACGCTTGATAGTAGCATTGATCAACAATAACTCATGCTAAAATCGTTACGGCATTTTCACTAAAATATCCTAGTATTGTTCATTCTAATAGCTTTTTTAATCATTATTTTTTTTAATATCTCATATGAAAGTTTATCCTATTGATACAAATATTTAGAATACACGATAGCTTCTACGACTTCCTTCGGCAATTACCTATTCACTGTCGGAAAATTTGTATCAAGTAAGTATTTTCTTGAGGCTCATTCCAGCACTCATTTTTCGAATAATGAGTAGACACACATCCATACATATGTACTTAAAAATAATACTTGCATAACGGTATTATTAAAAATGAAATTTTATTCATTCGAATTCGAACAAAA